CGCTAGCTAGCCGAAAAAATCTGTAGAGTTTACTTACACAACAAAAGTCCATACGTTGTTTTAGCAGGCTTTGATCTCGCATGGAAACGCGAAAACAAAAAATTTGTGAAAATTCTCATTTAACAGGACAAATCCCCTTGTCGCTCTAACTTTTCCACAGAAACACAGTTTGCAACCAGAATAGACATAGTGCCTATTTAAAGCCTTGCGACGTTTTCTCGGTTGTAAAAAAGTGTTTTCACCGGAAAACTGCGGACATGAGAGGATTTTTTCCGCAAAATGACTTATTTCACAAATTTTTTTGCTTTGCTTCACCATGCAAGACCAAAGCCTTCCAAAGTAACATATGGACTTTTGTTGTGTAAGTAAGTTCTACAGATTTTTTTCGGCTAGCTAGCGGCACTCTGCGATTTTCTGGCACCAAACTCAAAATCGCAAAATTTGAAGCCCCATATTCGAGAGCTTCGTTCTTGATGTCCAGCTCACGTAATCTTATGCTTAAACAACCATCATGAAGCGTAAGACTTCTAATATTTTTAGCATACAAATGAATTTAGGTTTAATCTTTGAAAAGTTATTGAATTTTGTTTGAATTACGCAAGAACTTTCGTGCCAACTAATATTTTGATGAAGTCACAGAAATGACAGAATCTTCCTAAAATTCCTGTTCCACGCTGGATTCATAGCTACCCTACGAGGATGCTTGTCGATAACAGAAAAAGGAAAAGACAAGGTTATAAACCACAAGATACAAGTCGTAGTATAGTGTATCCGAGACAACGAAGGCAACTTAGAAGATTGGCGAATCGTGCCTTAATCGTGTCAAAAATCCTACAAACACTTGCAAACTATTAGGTTGGCGCAAAAGTTCTGCTGTTGTTTCATTTTCAAATTTGTAACTTCTCCCTATCTGTACAGATTTGCGTTGCTATATTTTATTAGAAAGAAGAAACCTTCTACTTTTTGGAGCTGCTTAGCGAGTTCCACCCGAACCTGAATTCATAGATAAAACCGAATATAAATAAGATCATTCAAGCTTCGACCATTTTGAGTTATCGAGTAAGTTAGTATGAGTTCGTCCCTAAAATCAGAAACATTACACAAAAATCCAGAATTGTCAGTTCATAAGTTTTACGACCTACTCTTTTTAACTGCGGAAAGTTTTTGCTGGTCAGACGTATCTACGAAAAGCTATCACTTTTGAGAAAAGATGCTTTGGCATTAGAAAGTCCCGAAAGTTCGTCGTTTTGTTTCTGGAAATTTGTATTTTTTCTGAAAATTTGTGCTTTTTTATCTTGACAGATTTGCTTTTTTGTGGTTTTATTAGAAAGAAGAGGACTTCCTCTTCGTAGAAATATCTCTTGTTAAGCTTCAACTATGTATGCACTCATTGCAGATAAAAATGAAAATGGAAGAGCATTCGAGTTTCTATCATTTTGAGTTACTTCGCAAAAAAAGTTGGAACCCCGGAAAAATCTGGAATTGTCAGTAAATATGTTTTGTTATTGCTCTTTGCACCTGAGGAAAAGTCGTGCTGTTTGAACGTTTTTGCGAGAAGTTGTGATTTTCGAGAAAAGTGACAAATCAATTAATTTTGGCGTTATGTTGTAGACTCGAGATTTATAACTTCTCGCAAAAGCGTTCAAACAGTACGATTTTTCGTCATTTACAAAAAGTAAGTTATAAAAGTTATGTACTGAAGATTTTTCCGCAGCGTTCCAGATTTTCCGCAATTTAAAAATGATCGAAGCCTGAGTGATCTTCCTCTTCCATTTTTACCTCTGCAGTGAGTGAGTGTATAGTAGAACGCAAGATGAATTTGAAAAGAAGGAGGCTCTTTTTTCGATAAAATTACATAGAAGGAAATCCGTCAAGATAGCGAAAATTTACAAATTTTAGTTAAACGAAGGAACTTTCGAGACGACTTAATAAAAGTTCAAACAAAATTCGCAATTGTACACAATGACGAACCCGCTAGAGACAGAGGAAATTTTGCGACATTTGAGACTTGCGTTTTAACACTATGTATTTCCTCTTTTCTTTCTTCCTTTCTCTCCTTTCTTTTCTTCCTGGCTTTTCCTTTTTCTTCTATCGCGACAGCCATTTAAAATGACTGCCGCTTAATGATAGAATAATTGATTTGGCATTTTCTATTGCAAACACAAAACCACAACTTTCCATAAAGAAGTCCAGTGAGCATGATCTTTTCATATTTGGAAAGAGTAGGACTAAAACTTATAGGCTAACAATTCTAGTTTTTTTGCAACGCTTCTAATTTTTTGGGCAATAATCAAATCTTGAATAGTCTTGTTATCCAATTTTGTTTCCGGACCAGTGTTGAGAAAGAACTTGCTAATGCAGTAATAAAAAGTAGGAAGCTTCTTTCTTTCTAATAAGAATTACAGCAAAGCAAATCTGTCCAGACAGGAAGAAGATACGATTTTTTGAAAATGGGACGACAGAACTTTTGCACCGACCTAACATTTTACCCGAATTTATGGTCGAATTCAAAAAACAATTTTACTGCGAAATCTTGTCTCAGCAGGTCAATTCATAGTCTGGACAGTCTAACAACGATCAAATCCTTTCAAACAGCATACAAAAACGAAAATCTAAGTTACTGCTCGATGTGTGAGACGAATATTACGCACCCCTGCGCGACTGCAATGCAGTAACTCCGTTAAGCTCGCAGGTACAAAGTATTTGCCCCTTATTTTGTGACACAGTTGGAACCACAAAAAAAATCAAATGATTTTGCTGTTATCTTCACCGTATGCGAATACCGGTCTACGTGAAATTATCGGACTAGCGAACCACAGGGACCATTGGTTTTGTCCCAGATATTCACGACAGGAAAGATCTTCCATAATCTGTTGCTCTTTGAGATCTAAGACCTAACATCTGTGGAAATCCATAGATAAAATGCGGAATCTCTATGGCGTAAGGGTAGTCAGAAAAGTTTCTAGGACAAACAAACGTGTTTTCGTTTTGCACATCCCTTGTTGAAACATGTTTTGTGAAAGAGTCGCAAAAATTCTTTAAAAATTCCCATTTCGAGTAGTGTTGAAAAGAATCATACGATATGCACATTCTGCAGCCAGAAGTATGTTGCGCATGTATATAAATCGGAACCCGCATATGAGCTAGTCATCGTGTGCAGAGAGTTGACGCAGTTGCGGACGATCTCGGCGTCTCTATGATCAAAAGCACTTTTAGTTCATTACCGTTCCTTCCAAACACTAAGTGGCATGAGCACACAATAATTCTGCATATTTTCTTCTTGTACGAATCAGACAATCACAGATTGACTAAAAACAAGTACCTGATTCATTAGACATATTGTTCAGAAAAATCACACCACTCTCAAAGTACACCTTTTTTTCTGGATTTAATTAGATATCTGCGATTTAGCTATCCTTAGCACCGCTTATTTGCTCTTCAAGACAATGTCTTATTGTGGTGTTACGGTAAGTAAATACTGTGCATTCACTTAAGAAAATAACCCTGATGCTCCACTTCATTGGAGGTGTGGTGCTTATCGAATAAAATCACTATGCTATTACTCAAATTTCGAAGATTTGCACCCCATATTTCCCGCAACTGCGGAAAAGCCTACCTCCCCCTCTTCCACTTAGAATCAACTTCAATTTTTTCTTCAAATCATTGAAAAATTTTGAATAAGTTTTGAAAATATTTTGAAGAATTTTTTGAAAGTTTATTTGATTTTTTTTTCAAAACACTGATCCCTCACTGCCAATGTGCGTCAAGAATAGAGAAGACATCTGCTTTGAATTTGACGGGGAATATTTTAGAAATGTAGCAATTTACTGCTAATTCAACCAACGCGTATAATGTGAAAGAATATAAGCTCAGAGAACTTCACCATCATAAAACAAATTCGCCACAATTTTGGGAAGGTTGTGAAAAATATAAAAAAAATCTATACGAATAAATAAGTTCATGCGCGATGGGGACATACATATGATGGAGGCGATATCGTTTGTATGGGGACTCACTTTCGTAGCAAAACTAGTGGCGGAACAAATTCTTGTACATAAAGTTCGAAAATTGTGCAACTGAAATTAAAAAAGCACGGCAATAAATGCTTAGGACCTTTTGAGGTAGAGAATTTGGTCCACTTTGATCGAATAAGTTTCATCAAAAATGGTACAAGTTTCTCTCACCCAAGAAATGACGGAAATTCGCATCATTTTTATGTGATAAGAATCCATACATTAGGTGGAAGGGACAGCACCGTATATCTGATGCCATTTCTGGCAGAATCTTTGGAGAAAGAAATACCCGTCGCATTTGTGGTTAAATTCTCTACAGCTGATAGAGGTATGCCGAACTCCTTCCAATAAATTTCTTAGAAGATAGACGCGATTAGCAACGTTGGATATTGAGTTCTTTACTGACGAAAAAGCTTAGTAAATGAGGGAATGCTGTATTTACTGGCACGAAGTCCAAGAAATTCAACTAGATTTCGTATCCGGAGTGTGTGTCAAGCGCAAATTCCCGCTTTATCGATTAAAAATTTGAGTTACCCAGCTCGAGATGGAACTGAACATTCATATCTCCACTTAAGAAAAACTCAAGAAATCTTGAGAGTGGATATTCAGTGAGACAAAAAAGACTTGAAAAAGTGAATATGTTCGCAAGTGTGAAAGAGTCGCTTGAGACGTTGAAGAGAATTAGACAATCGAAGAAGGAAAGCAATCAGACAAACAATTGAGCAGTCTTCCCTTTCAAAGATTAAGAAAGAACTAGAATTCTAGAGCAATGGTTTGGAATGAGTTGACGGATTGTGCCATGGATTCAAGCAGAAGATCAAGAAGTCTTTCCATAAATCAACAAAATCAATACATATAACAAAAGTCTGTTTGCAATTTTTTTCTCACATAATAAAAAGAATGCAAACAGACTTTTGATTAATATTTCAGTTTTAGAAACAGCTACTATGGAGTGCCGAAAGCATGCATTTTTAGAGTAAAACTCACTACATTTCCGTCCTCGTTAGGATAGATGGCTATGTCCTACTTGCACCAGACGACCCTAAAATAACCTCACATTGCAAAAATAAATTCATGCAAATTATTCTTTGTAAGAGTTTCGCAATCACGCCAATCTTCACAAGCTTCAAGGAAGGGTGTTTTTTGAGCATCTTAAAATTAAAATTACTAACAAATTAAATGAATAGTAAAAAATGCTCAAAGCACGGATGCATTTGAATACGGAAGTACTTGAGTAAAATAAAATGGAGCATGAAATTCACATTCTGATCCAATTGGGACCAATATACAATGAAACATGAACATAGACAATTAGTGGAAAAAAAGGAGGAGTTCTGGGCTACAGCTTAGCACCAACTTTCGCATTAGTTCTAGTGAGAACGCAAATGGATTTCTCTGGAAGGAAGGAGTTCTAAGAAACCTAACGACAAAATGAATGCTTAACTGAAACTGCCGCGCAAAGTAAAATATCGGAGTCCAAGACCGGCGAAGAATTTAACGACAGTACGAATCTACCAAAATTGAAAAAAAGTGAATAGTTGGAGAGTTTCAACAATGTTCTTCGCTTTAAAAAAATGATTCGGCATGGATAATTAGAATTGATTATTTGTGATCCGTAGTCCACCGAGCGTTGATTCATCAAACGAATTGATTGCAGAAGAAAACTTGGGAGCAGCACAAAGTAACATCGCTGGTGCTAACATGGCCAGCTAGATGTCGCACTTAAAGTGTCTATAATCTCTTACTCTAAAAGAGTATATCGACTTTGATTGTAATAAGTTCACTACAGGATGACAGAAAGTATCTCATTCATCGAACGCAGAAACTCGCATTTCGAGAGATAGCAGACGGTTAGAGAAATGAAAGTACGTTTGATATGAGAGAGACGACAGCGTCCGCACCAGCGTGCCGTCTCTGCGTGCCATAAATCGTCTATACCTTTTGTACCATCTGCACTTACGAAAGCCCCTTCCCTTTAAAGTTTTTATAAAGTGATTCAATTGCACACCCTACCTTTGCGGCCATTGCAGACGCAGAATACTACAAGGTCTCAAACTCATTGAATAATCCCATCCTTCGGAGATACTTTTATGTATTCCGAAGCTGAAATCTGATAGCAAAAAGCGTTTGAAAGGTGAAATATAACTGAGAAGGCTCAATGCACGTGCAATGGCCGCAAACTCACCGACTCTCGCGGCCACGCGGAGCCCCATAATTTGATAGCTTGTGAATGGTGAGATCGTGTTAATGTGATCAAGCAAACAGTAACATTCATTTGCTAATCTAGGGATGTTGGAAGTGGGAGTGAGGCCAATAACAATCGATAAATTTTTTGAATGCGATGTTGTACACAAATAATCCTATGAACATTACACTAGGTTGAACCGACTGTTTGTTCGCATCTATTTAAAAAATTCATAACTTCTCACTTTATCAAAGAATTTGCACAATTTTAGTTTTGCCAAAGAGAGTTATCCATGCGCTTTACGATAATTTTTGAATGATTTTCTAAAACGCAAACGCTGCAAAGATAAAGGCTATAGAAAAAAATTACTCAGATTTTGATTTTTGGTTGAGTTGCCAAAAAACTAGAATTTGCGCTAAAAATAGAAGCGTTTGGTATTAGGTTTTATCATCCTTTTGACGGAGCTTTTTGAATAGTTATAATTTCGAGAGAAATACCAAAATAATCAAAATTGCCGTTTGGATCTACTTTCTCAAATTCATAACTTTCCATAAAAGAGTTCAATCAAGCACTTTTTGCTCAGATGTAAAGAGCAGGTCATAAAACCTAAAACACTAAGTTAGGTTTTTTGGCAACTCTACCACAAATATTAAAATTTGAGAGATTTTTTTTCTACAGCATCTATCTCTGCAATGCTTGCATATTAGAGAGTCTCAAATATTATTGTAAATCGCATGATTTCCTCCTATAGAAAATAGAAAAAGCTGAAATTGTCAAATTTATTGTAAAAAGTGTGAAAGATGAAAATTGCGAACGAATTTTCGATTCAACCTAATATTTATTAGGTTGGTGCAAAAGTAATGCGCGTTTTGCGAGTTTCCACTTTGACGTGCTATAACTTTCTAAAAAATCCGTATTTTTCAGCGCGGTCAAGTCCATCAGAGGCACCAAACTTCTCTCAGCGCACACTAATTTGTGCTAACATCACAAAACGGTGGAAAAATATGGATTGATAAGCAAAGAAAATTTTTTTCGGAAAGCTCGTTTTTAACTGATCATAACTTCCTTCAAGATTTGTCGGTATAAAGAAAAGTTGACTGTCTTGTAGCCGCAAGCCAGTAGTACGAAAAAAAGTTGAAAGGAGCTCAAACAAAGAAGATTCGCGAAAATGAAAAAATAATATTGAAAATTGTCCGCTTTTTTCGACATTTTTTGTAGCCCTCAAAATCCCAAAATATGGAGATTTTTGATTTTCTGTGTACTGAACAGCTTCCACATTTTTGCAAAAACTGTCAATAGGAGGCCCACTCTCACGCTTACACAAATGAGCGAAACATTGGCGATTGCCTTTTTCAAAGGAAATCTATGGGCCACAGAATGGTCAAAACCATCACTCATGTTGAGGCGCCGAAATTTTAGTCTAAATAATTTTTGAGAAAACAGCAAAGTGTGCATAACGAAGAAAAATTCCACTAAATACAGCAGTTAAATTTTCAAAAGAATGCGTTTACTCGCGCTGAAATTCTGGCCAAAAAAGTAAGTGCAATGAAATTCTGATTTTGATTGCGGTTGTATGAAGCTCTAGAAATTTCTAACGAATGAGGCTAGAAGCTTATTTCAACCACCACTGAATAGAGCATGAAAGAAGCTTCTTGATAGTATGCTGGGTAAGTTTCATAAGAGAAACTTTGATGGAAAAAAGCTATCTTGAAACAAGGGCTAGAAAAACGCGCATTACTTTTGCACCAACCTAATACATTATGAGCAATGAAACAGAGAACGAAGTCTTGATGTCATGGCATAGGATTCCTGGTACCTTGGCAATTTGGGAAGCGGTAACAGCCACGAATTTGCAGAGACGAAACAGTGCTGCAGTTATCACTGCATAGTTGTTCGCCTACGAACGTACAAAACTTTTGAAAGGCTAATCTCAAACGCTTATTTACTCAACAGCTTTGTGTGGTAGGTGAGATCAAAAAGAGAAATACTTGTTGTAGATCAGAGATGCATGTATGAGCACAATTACAAGATATTACGAAAAGATAATGCAGAATAAGGTTCTCCAATCAAATAGCAATGGCCAAAGCACAACTCAAGCAAACGTGGGAGACTTTACATTAAAAAATTCATGACCATTCACGGCAATTTCAGTGCAACAAAAATTACATCGGAATTACAGGAGCAACGCAGACATGATCGTTATGGTTACAAAGAACCGCGCCTCTTCTTAGTCACTCAAACTGGGATTCTCAGGAGTGGTGAGAAATTTTCAAAAAACCTTCCGATTATGCAAGGCAATCCAAAGACCGACTTTTTATTTAAATTAATCAAGCAAAAAAACTTCGAAAAACATGCCAACTCCACGCCACTAACCAGACAAATTTTTATGTCCTCCCTCCCCGCTCTCCACCATAAAAACAGAACTATTCTTTATTCACACAAATTATACACATTCATACTCCTTGCCCCCCCCCCTCTTTCCCCTTCCCCCACAATTACCTCAGCCTCTTATTCCAATCCTTCATCTTGTAGAGATGCCACAAGAGCCCAATCACTGCCCTACCGATCCGATTCTCTGCAAAACCAACAAATTCTAGCTCGAATATGCTCCACTGCAAGCGCGAAAATTCAAGAAAGTGCTTGAAATAAACAAATGACTCGTTCACAGCGAAAGATTGCTTATAAAAAGCAAAGTCATAAAATTCTTTCTCTTCGTATAATTTTTCCACCCTTTTTAGTGTCCTTATTCTACATCAGCAACCCTACACACCAGTTTTTGAATCGGCTCAAACCTCCTCCTCTCCGCCTAGTTGAAGCCTTCCAAAGATTTCGAATGACAGCGGCAATCGTGCTCCAAGGGCGCGGTGTTGAGCGCCGGACACAGATGACAGCTATTCCGAGATTGAAAGCATAATGAGCATTTTCTCATCATCTGCTTCGTGAAGTTTTTGTATTGGCTTTTATTAGGTTGTTAAAAGAATAACGTAGTTTTTATTTGCAAGCTATGGCATCGCAACAGACGAACCCCAAAAATGCATGAGGGGTCCCGTTCGATAGAGCAAAGCAAGCTCTACAAGATAGCTTCCGAATATACTTGCTCAAAGTTTGTTCCACATAAAGTTCGAAACCGAAATCTAAAAGGACTTGAATGAAAGAAAAATCAAAAAAAAAATCGCCGTCTAAGAAAGTTCTGAAGCTTCTTACTTGCTCAGAAACATACTTGCTACATCTGGCATTTACTTGTGAATTTGCTGGTTTTTTTTGTGGCTAAATGGAAAGAGAATAAATTTTTGTTTTTGCCAAAACTGCGCTGGGGTGCTCCCACATAAGTAATTCAAAGTATGAACTTTTGGAAGTGAAAGCATGATTTTTGGCCTTTTGCAGGCGATAATTTTGAAAAATATTGAATTTAACAGAAGAAACACCTAAAAATGCTTATTTTTGCCGCTTTTGGCCCATGTATGTTTCTCGAGTTTCAGCTATGAAAAAAAGAGAATTTACAGATATATCAAATGTAGAGAGTATGTCTCTAAACAAGCAAGAAGCTCGTAAGACTTTTAGATGGAGCGATGTTAGATCGTTGACAACTCTCTGCCTTTCATGCTCTCGCCTAGCCTAAGAGACCGTTCTGTAGTGCGAGGTTTAGCTTAGATATACAGTACGGAGCGAATCGTCAATCGTTCTTCGTTACTGTAGGACTACGTTAGGAACTTCGAGAAGATTAAGTCATTGAAAGCGACATTGCCTTAGAAAGAGAACCAAACAAACCAAAACTCTTGTAGTGGGCAAGTCGAAGTCGCTGACTCTACATATGAAATTTGCACTTCACTGTGAAGCTTCTCCAGGAGCTATTTCAT